CCGGCGCCGCCGGGCCCCCTGCTGCTGCTGCAGCAGCAGCAGCAGCAGCAGCAGCAGGCGGCTGGGGGCACTGGTTCGCCGCGCCTCACAGGCTCGCAGCCCTCGCAGTCCTCGCAGCCAACGCGTAAACCCTAAACCCTAAACCCTAAACCCTAAACCCTGGACAGCGAACCCTCAACTCCCCGCGCAAACCCCAAACACGCAGCCACAGAGGGCGCCGCAGAGCCCTGCGCAACGCCGCGCTGCTCCCGGCCCTCACACCAGAGGGCTTAGGGCTTAGGGTTTAGGGTTTAGGGTTTAGGGCTTGGGGTTTGCAGGCTGGTTTGGTGGAACGTGACAACTTGCATCTACAGAGAAATCCCCGACGCCAGCCCTTGGCTTGTGGGCCTTTCGGCAGCTCTGGGCCTTTCCACTTTGGGGCTTAAGGGCATTATTCTCGGTAAACCCTAAACCCTAAACCCTAGGCCCTAACCCTAAACCCCAGCTCCGGCGCGCGCCTCAAAGGCTTTACGGGGACTGAAGCTTCCGCCGCCGCGTTGCCGCCACCACCACAGCAGCAGCAGTAGTAAAAGCAGTAGCACCAGCAGCAGCAGTACTCAGAGACGCAGCAGCAGCAGCAGCAAAAGCAGCAGCAGCAGCAGCAGCAGCAGCACGTTTCTGCTTTTGTCTGTGCAGGCCCTGTTTTGGCGACGGTGCCTCTTATTGCAATTTCCGCGGCGTCGAAATTTAGTGAGAGGCAAATGCGCTGCCAAGAGGCTCTGGGTGCGCCAGAGCAGCAGCTGCAGCAGCAGCAGCAGCTGCAGCAGCAGCAGTTCCTGCAGCAGCACCAGCAGCAAATGCTGCAGCAAATCGGCCCGCGGGAGGGGACAGAAAGATCCCAGGGCCACTTCGTGCAACAACTGCAGCAGGAGCAGCAGCTGCAACAGCAGCAGCTGCTCCTGATGCAAAAGCAACGGCAGCTGCAGCGGGAACAGGAGCAGCAGCAGCAGCAGCAGCAGCGCTTTGCAAACGTAGTAAGTCCACCCTCCGAACTTTCGTGCCCTTCCCCCAGAGTGCTCACTAGGTGCTGCAGCTCAGCTCATATTCGTCGCTGCTTTCCTGCTGCTGCTGCTGCTGCTGCTGCTGCTGCTGCTTGCAGGCTGCGGAGAGCTCCGGGCTGCAGCGCAGCGAGGGGCCCCAGGGGGCCCCCCATGTAGGCGAGCAGCCCAGCAGCAGCTCCACCCTTAGTTACCCTTTTTGGGGGCCCCCCGGGGGCCCCCCAGATAGGGGTTCCTTTGCTTTGGGGGAGTGGCGCTCGGGGCCCAAGTACCCTCCGGGGGGTCCCCCAGTGCAGACCCAGACCCTCTTGGGGGCCCCCCCTGCTGCTGCGCAGGGGGCCCCCCTGGCTGCAGCAGCAGCCTCTCCAGCTTCTTCTCCTCCAGACAGTATTCATTCTCAGGGGCCCCTTTTGGGGGCCCCCAGCTCACCTAGTCTGGGGCCCCCGGGGGGCCCCCGCAGCCCCCCCGGGCTCTTTGGCCAGTCCCAGGGGGGCCCCCTGGGGGCGGGCCCCCTAGGAGGGGGCCCGCTGGGGGCCCCCCAGCAGCAGCAACCTGCGCTGGCTGTGCACTTTATTAAAGGAGCTGCTGACGCAATTCGTTGGGTACTGCAGCGGCGGAGGTCTGGGTTAGTGGGGGGCCCCTCAATGGGGCCCCCCCTGGGGGGCCCCCCCTTTTCGCAGTACAGCTGGGGCAGCGGGGCCCCCCTCTTCGGGGGCCCCTACCAGCAGCCGCTGCAGCAGCAGCAGCAGCAGC